CTAAGGCTAAAATTTCGTTCCATTATCTTATAATGTTCGAAATTTATTGGAGAAAAACTAAATTTTTTTAAACTTTTTAGCGCCCTGTAGCTTGGAAAAGAAAACCCGTAGAGCATAACTTCATATGAGAAAAAATTATTTTTTAAACCAAATAATCCACCGTTTAATTTATTCCCAACCTTTACGTTACACCCAGTATAAGTATAAATACAGGGTGTTTTTAAGTGAAGAAGCAAAAATGGTACCAGTGAATGTAGTGCCAAAAATAAGAGGATTGAAGTAAAAATACCTTATATGATAGTTGTACCCCTGAGGCAATATACCCTCTTGAAGGAGGGGATTGAAATTCACATTTTAATTTTTTTCTTTAACATGGGGAATGCTAGAGACATGAAACTTGGTATGAGCATTCTACTAATAAAGAGACAACTTTTCAATAATTTTTCGATCATTGGCGTATTTTATAAAGGGGCGAAACAGTCAACCCCATTGCAATATTATATTATAATTTTTTTATATGAAGCAAATTATTTATTTAAAAATATTTATTGGGAAGACTGATTTATTGCGCAACTTTTTTACCTCTTGTAATTTTTTGATAAAACCGATAGTTTTCTAGCAAAAAAATTAGATGCCTCTTCGTTCACTAAAGGGGTAATTGCAAAAATTTGTAAAAATAAAGTAAGCGGATGTCAACAAATAAATTGTTATTTATCATATTAATAAATTGACACTTTCTGTTAATAAGCTGGTAATTTAATAATAACATTAAGAATAATTTGATAAAAATGTTTGATAACATGATTATGGGACATGTATTAGGTGAAGTTATTTATCTGAAATAAAATTTAATACAAACAAAAAACAAGAAATAAAAAATTAAATCTGAAGAATATTCTCGAAATAATTTCCATTTTGCTGCAGACCTAGTACGTCTGTTGAAATTATAACGCACTTGCACAAACAGTTCTTGGTTATTGCGAAGGTCATCTGCTGCCTGGAATATTCTTAAGCATAGTTCTTCTAAAGAGGCAACAGGAGTGGCATAAACAATACTTTTCATGTGTCCCCACAAAAAGAAATCCATAGGTGTTAGGTCAGGTGAATGTGCAGGCCAACAAACAGGGGCATCACAACCACAACCAATCCAGCGATTCGGGTAATTTAAATTTAACCATTCTCTAACAGCAAGTGTACTATGTGCAGGCGCCCCATCGTGCATATACCACATCACCTGACGTGTAGCAAGGGGTACATCCTCAAGTAATGTTGGAAGATTTTTGTTCAAAAATCTAAGATACTCGGCCGCTCCAAGCCTGTGTGGAAGAATAAAAGGACCTACTAGAGTACTTCCTACAATTCCTATCCAAACGTTTAAACTGAAATTATGTTGGCATCTTGAAACAAATATTTCATGAGTATTTTCTTCCAACTATGAATGAACATTATGAAGGTTTACTGTACCTACTCTAGGAAAATTTGCTTTGTCAGTGAAAAGTATATTCATTAGGAAATTTAAGTCATGCCTGGAAATATTAATGTACCATTGGCAAAAATCCATGCGGTTAGGTAAATCAGGGTCATTCAATTCTTGCACGGGTTGATGGTGAAAAGGGTATAAAAGATTTTCTTGAGCTACATTACACACAAGACTGTGAGAAACTTGCAGTTGACTGGACACTTGTCTCGTGCTTTTACCGCAGTCTTGTTCTAGATGTTCCAGTATAGCTTCCTCAGTTTCAACAGTTCGGACATTACGCCTTCTTCCGCCACCCTCACGATTGGGCTAAATTTTACTAGTTTCGCGAAGCCTTCTTTCCACCGAGGCCAATGTTTGTCTATGAGGAATCGGTCGTTTTGGATATCTTTGGTGGTATAATCTTACTGCAGCGTTACTATTTTTTCTGGATTCGAAAAACACTTGATGCATGTCGACATATTTGTCATTGGTATAAATATTATTTGTCATATTTATTCTGATAATAAATTAATCAATTGGTACTAGTCATTAGTTGACAGAAAGCGTCAATTTATTAATATGATAAATAACAATTTATTTGTTATGACATCAGCCTACTTTATTTTTACAATTTTCGCAATTACCCCTTTAGTGAACGATGACACATCTAATTTTTTTACTAGAAAAATATCGGTTTTATCGAAAAATTACAAGTGGTAAAAAAGTTGCGCAATAAATCAGTCTTCACAATAAATATTTTTAAATAAATAAATATATCATATAAATATTCATATAAAAAATTTCTAATAAAATATTGCAATAGGGTTGACTGTTTCACTCCTTTATTAAATACGCCAATGATCGAAAAAATATTGAAAACTTGTTTCCTTAATAGGATGCTCATACCATGTTTCGTGTCTCTAACATTCCTCATGTTAAAGAAAAAAATAAAATGTGAATTTCAATCCCCTCCTTTAAGAGGGTATATCGCCACAGGGGTGCAACTTTCATATAAGGTATTTTTACTTCAATTCTCTTATTTTTGGCTCTACATTCACTGGTACCATTTTTGCTACTTCATTTAAAAACACCCTGTACATATTGAAACAAAAGTTATAAAATAAAAAAAAATGCAATTTTGCTTACTGGCATGTATCGATGGAAATACAGACAGGGTCACGAAAAATATAAAGAAAACGTTGTACAACTGTGGCATAGCCTTCTTCAGAATATACAAGTAAGGAGGTCGTTCATTTGATACTTTTGTTATCTGCTGCCTCTGTTCGAGCTCCTTCTTCTCCTTTAATTGGAAATGTCTATAAAACCTCTAAAAACGCAAAAATAAAGCAAAATCACTGTACTGGTAACTTACTGATGAGGAAGTAATAAAGTTTGTAGAAAACAAAAAGTACTTACATTGAGTGGTAAGGCGAAATATGTGTCAAAACAAATCAACAGCACAAACAGTGCCATTATGAAGTAATAGATGGCAGCCATTCTCGCATTGGAAGTCACCAGATTAGAAATGATGCTAATAATGGCAATGAAAGTGCCGCAAATGTTATTTCCTAATATTACAGAAGCCGTGTACCTTGACGGCAGCTTGGCAGCCATACCATAAACGGTGTTCTGATATATACCGGTGGCCACTAAAATTGTTAATGTTTAAAACCTACGAATTATCTTCAAAATAGAAAATATTCAAAATATTACTTACTATTCAAAAAAACAACACTTATCATAGTGATATAAAAAAATCCATCTGGCCACGCGCTAGAATCAACCATTGCCAGGATAACTGTTATAATAAAAAGCACAATTTCCACAACTATGCTCCACACAATTCTTTTGTTTATATTCCCTCTGAAATAACGAAAAACGAAATTTGTAAATACACAGGGGTTTTGGAAAAAAATAGACTGAAAGAACATCAAAAAGTAACATTTATTCAATGGACTTGAAGTCTATCGTCTTCTATTTTTGCAATACAGAGCGTCAAATATGATTTCTTTTTATCAAATTTGGTGCAGGTAAGTTTTTGAGGTATACTGTAATATAAGATTTAATTTTACATAAGAAAATATTCTTGTTGAAATCGCAGTTTCTGAGAAAAATATAATCAACTGTCCCAAAGACAACCAGTTTCTCCACCATAATATACAGAATGTCTGGAAATGAATGGGCCATACTTTAAGTGAGGAAACCACATAGGAGGCTGATTTTCAGTCGTTTTTCATGATTTTTTTTAAGTGGAATAAAGTGATTAGAATTTGATCAAACTTTGACATTATTTTATGAATATTTTAAACTACATTTACAAATTAAATTTTTCAAGTTTTTGTGTTGGAAATGCCAAAGTTATGGGCTATGCATATCATGGTTGTTACCACAAAGCAGTGGCGTACTATTTTATTTAGAAAAATATGCTACCGATACCCTGTATCTCCGCCACTGGAGCATGTAAATTTTAGGAAAACTTTTGGATTTTGGACAATATTTACATAAATAAATGTGCCCAGTTATTTCACTTACTAGTTTTTAAATTATTTAAAAAAATAAAAATATGTTTTGAAGTTTAACACCCTGTATCCTTTTAACGAAGCGTCCTAGATAAAAACTTTATAGGAACGACTCCCCTTAAAATTCATCAAAGAATACGAGGGTTCATTTTTGGTCACCATTTGTGAATCACCCTGTATGTCAGAAGATAATAAATTTTATTTTATGGATCATATAAAAAACTTACCCAATATGTACAAAAATATTAATCCAACTAAAAAGGACATTAGGAACTTGAGAACAAAACGTCAGATACTGCATAAAATTAGACAAATGAGGAAACACGTATCCTAAGTACTCCTGGGAGAATTTATAATTTATAAAATACTAAAAAATAAAAAACAAAAGTTATTATAATACCTGAAAAAATATAAATATACCATGTTCGACAATTTAAAGTATAACTTACTGCATTGGCAGTGATGAACATGTTCCAAGGCAATAAAACACCGATACCATGGATCAGAAACGTTAAATACACTAAATTGTATTTATCGGGAGGAGTGTTGAGCTGTAAACTCGCTTCATCCATGGTCAAACTTTTAAAATTCAATTCGTCCTCTGGCAAGTTATTCTCCTCCCAAGACGGTTGAAGTTTCACGGGTTGTTGTAGGCGTGTTCTTTCATTAACCACTTCTGCAGCTAGAAATTCGAAATCAAATATTGCCGCGTTACACAATGGGTACTTACACTCTATAGGATTAAAGAGAGATATCTGGTGTAGACCGCTTTATATACACAAAAAATACTCTTCTTATATACATACTCTAAATTATTTAATAAAACATATTGGTTTATAAATTTTTGATTAGTAATATAATGAAAATTAAAAATTAAAACAAATGTCATAATGAAAATAAGACAGTTGTCTTTGAAGTGGATTACTAGTTATTAATCACGTCCACTTTTTTACTAAATATATAAATTTTGCTTACCTTGAATAGGCTGTAGAGCAACTCCATTTTTTTCGTTGTATAGGTAATCCCTACTGTAACTCATTTTATAAGATCAATCCTCCTTTTGCCAACTATCAAGCAGTACCTACTATCTCATTTTACTATTCCATTTATCAAATCCTAAACAGAAAACTCTTATAACCATTTGTAGCCACTATCACAAATAACAAAAATACTGAAGAAGAAAAACATTTATATCAGTTTAACTACAGCTGTAAATAGTATTGTTTAGATAATGATTCCTAAGACATAATTTCATTTATCTAAACAATGTAACATTGATAGATCATTAAAAATATTATTTATTTAATAATTTTAAAGTAATTAGAATTAAGGTAAACATTTAATTACCTATAATAGGTAATTATAATATAATAAGTTAGGTTTATCAAAATTATTTGTACTGGTTTAAGGTTTTATCTACATCCCACGAATAATATAACACAAGGCCTTAGCTGGAGAATTTCTAACCACTGTAATTCTTAAAATTGCACAGAATATACATACATGAGACGATGGTATAAATCTATGCAGATATAATGAAAATATCATTCACGAAAATAAATTCTTTTTATCGCTTCATAAAGTATTTTATAATTTTGTATTATATCAGTGTACTTTGGCAAATATATATCGTGGATATTTTCTACTTGTTTTCCTTCTATTTTTAACCAAGTAAATAAGTCATCAATCATTATATTCAAAAGTATATAAGTACGTATATTTATCGTCAGAGAAAGTTTTGCTGTTACTTTTTAAATAGTATTTTTGACAGAGTAAAGAAAATTGATCCATAACTATTTTTAAACTTTAGGATTAGTGATGTAAGGTAATAGAGGAAATGAGGAAAATGAAAATCTGAATTAATACCGAAATAAATATACAGTGAGTTAAATTTTAATATTAGAAAAAGAAAACAGTTCTGTTTCAAATTTTAATTCATGGATATTTTGGGAGATTGCAAACTCACAAAATTAAAAAATATATACATATAATATAATCAATCAACTTTTCTGTAAAAGTGATTATAAAAAAATAAAAAGGCCACACTTATTTTATTTTTTCTGTGGATAGTTAGGTACATTTTATTTTAGGAAAAAATGACTTTTTTAAATAAAATAATATAATAGCAAATATAACTTTAGATATTGCTTATAGTAGTAACTAATTTCCATAGTTAACAATAATTTAAAAAAGCATTTCTTTCAGTGTGCATGTACGTAAAGACAATATAATATTTTATATTTATCATTGAATCACACTTTACGGATATCAGATAGATTTAATTATTTTTTAATAGTTTTTTTTGTCGAGATTATTAATATTACATTCTTAGGAGTATAAACTCAATAAATAAGTATATTTAAAAATCGATAAACACCTAATTTATTTTAAATAACTCCTGAGGCACTAGGACTATTTCAGAAAAAGTTTTTAGCAAAATAAGAAATCAACTAAAATACTATCAGATCACAGCGTTTATAATTTTTTATTTCGCGCCAATAAAGCTAGTCTAACGCCCAAAAGGATATTTACAGTATTATAAACAAACATTTTTCTTATGTTCTTAAAATGGATAAATGTACTCACATTTCAATTACTGATTCTTAGCACACCTCAACAACCAAGATCCAATTAGCCGACAACTTTTAACGCACGTGGCTTGGATAAAATCCACCCAAATAACCAAAACAACTATAAAGCAGCCATATTGGTTGATAATTTTACAAAAATCAAATGAAGGGGGTAAGTCGGGCAGACCCTTGAGTATACAAAAATTACAGAATATCAAGGGGGTTTATTCTTAATGTTGGCCATTGCTAAGTGAGTTTAGGTCGTCGGCGACCAGAGGGCACTACGGTATGGTTGAAATTAGTCACTGTCTCAATTCAGAGACTAGTTGAAATTATTAAATCCCGGAAAGAATAAAAAGACATATGTTCACTTCATACGTATATTTCATACTCTGATTATTTTCCTTTCCTTCCACACATCATAGGGCCAACAACAAGGCCCATCCAAGTACCTAAACAAAATTATTAGCCGAGCTGCGGTGCTATGAATCCTTCCACGCTGTGATAACAGCGTTTTCCATTCCTTTTTCCTTTGTACTAAATGCGCACTGAGAATATGTCCATCATATCGAATAATAAAGGATGGAA